AATCCTACATAACTATGTTATGTTCGTTATGTAAATCCTACATAACTATGTTATGTTCGTTATGTAAATCCTACATAACTATGTTATGTTCGTTATGTAAATCGTAAATGTAATATCGTTGTTCGTTATGTTAGGCCTTCGTTATGTAAAGAAGAACAGCGACACAGTATTCTGTTAGGCTTAGCTACATCGGCGTCGCCAGTTGAGGCCACTTATGATGGGATCGTTAAAAATTTGTCATCATTACGTAAATGACGACTTAACTACTGTGTTGACTGGTTTGTGTATATTTATGGCCTTATTACAGTATTTCCTCAAGATGGCCGTGATGTTTGTTTACATGCTAAGATGCTTACTTGTTACTTTCTCGTATAACATCTGCTTTGTGATATGAGAGAGAGAGAGAGAGAGAGAGAGAGAGAGAGAGAGAGAGAGAGAGAGAGAGAGAGAGAGAGAGAGAGAGAGAGAGAGAGAGAGAGAGAGAGAGAGAGTTGGAATAGGGGGGGGCACAGACAACGGCAGTGAGACAAAGACAACAAAAACAGGAAAGCGAGTTGACAAAAACAGTGTCTTCACCTTGGCCTAGCATTACCCGCTCCACAGCTGTTGCCAAGGTTTTTTGGTGGCCCGCCCTACACCCACACTATGTTGCTGCCAGGCTGCCTGCCTGCCTCCCTGCCTCTCCCTGCCTCTCCCTGCCTCTCCCTGCCTCTCTCTCTCTCTCTCTCTCTCTCTCTCTCTCTCTCTCTCTCTCTCTCTCTCTCTCTCTCTCTCTCGACGATCACTGATAGTCAAATGATGGTATAACCATGAGTTAGAGTGATGAATGAGTACGTTCACACCACTAGGTTGTTGTGTGTTCCGGAACCCAGATGACACTGGGATGATATGATCATTTTTACATTGCAATTGGGGAATGCAAGAGGTATTTATTTCCCTTTGGATGAGTGAGTCTGAGTTATTTGGACGCCATCTCGGCTGCCATCACACGGTCCTGCGCTGAGTAGGAAATGAAGATTACCACAGTAAGAATAAAATTACATTTAGAGCTTAAGTGAAGACGGAATTAAAAGTTTCAGCATAGTTACATTATGATATTTAAATAGTTAAAGATTACAATAATTACCTCATCAAATTGAGAATAGAATAACTTTAAGATAAGCTGGTACCCCAAATAATGACAAATGGACGCAACGTTGTATCTAGAAATACATTTTGCTGGTAACTTATTTTGTATATATTTACCTAAATTATTAATTATTATTATTATTATTATTATTATTATTATTATTATTATTATTATTATTATTATTATTATTATTATGTGTTCTAGAGTATCCAGGATGTTGTTGTTTAAGATTTGCTACCAGGAACAAAAAGTTCCAAGTAGCACGGGCTATGGTGAGCCCGTAGAATCCAGGAATAGAAGGCATGGAGAAGTCCTAGCCGGTGGCTGAGCCCTGGCTGGGTGTATAATGGTGGCTGGGAACCCTTCAATGTAGCACGTTTTGGCCCTGGGCGCTCGGCTATGGTCGTTCTGTCATATTTTATATTTTTTTCCCCCTTTGGTTGCGTCTTATCCAATTTAGCATCTCCTAAGCCTAATACGGGTTTCAGTTGGATTAATATTTGGCAAATAATAACATATGTAGATTATGAGTCGCAATAACCTGGCTGAAATATGTTCACACACTAGAAAATGAAGGGACGACGACGTTTCGGTCCGTCCTGGACCACTCTCAAGTCGATAATCGACTTGAGAATGGTCCAGGACGGACCGAAACGTCGTCGTCCCTTCACTTTCTAGTGTGTGGTCTGGTCAAAATAATAACATTCTAAGCTTATCATAACGTAGGCTTCGGATCCTCTTAGCTAATCTCAGAATGTTTGGTAACATGTTTATTGTTTGTGATGTGTGTATATGTATGTATTAACACGATGTACTGAACGGGGTGAGAATAGCTTGAGCTACGTCATCCCTTTGTGTGTATTTTACATCAATAAACTTATTTCAAGTTCAATTTCTTAGCTAATCATAATGTGAGCTTTACAGAATTTCAGCTAAGCGTACTTTTATAATGTTTTCGCAGGGAATATACACTCAGTGTGAATATGACAAATATTTTTTTTTATTTAACAAATCCACAGAAGCCTTGCTGAGGGTTCGAACTTATATGTTGGTTGTTCAAAGACGCGCTCTGGTCCACTGTACCACAACAAGGTAAAATAATTGCAACTTAGAGTGCTGCTGCACCCCCAACCCGTCCTCGACTCAAGTCCATTCCATCTAGCGGTCGACCCCACAGACGCATTCATAAATTTTTACATGCTGTTCATTCAAAACGGGAATTTTCTCAAATATAAATTAGTATTATAATATATTAGCATATTGTTTATATATAGGCATAGGTTAGGTTACGTTAGGTGTTTAGGTTCTGTTGGCGATTATTTGTATTTGTAGTACGTGGGTGAAGCATTTACAGCGTTTTGGTCTTACAAAAGTCGTCAGTGAAGCACTTGTTCCGAAAGTGTTCGAACGTCAGTCAGTTGTGAATCAATACCTAAATATACACAGTATGCTAATAAATTACAATATTAATTTATATTTGAGAAAATTTATATTTTGAATGAACAGCATGTTAAAATTAATGAAAGCGTCTTTGGGGTCGATCTCTGGATGGAATAGACTTGGCCTGAAGACGGGCTCCTAAATACCTCACTTGCGTACTACAAACACAATTATTTACCAACAGAACCAAAACACCTAACATAACCTATCCTAGTCCTAACTATATATATATAATTATAATTATAATATACATTAATATTAATATGTATATGAAAAATACTGATTTCGAATAACACAAAATGCTTCGGGGGTCAGCCGCAGCTTGGCCAGCCCCAGCCTGAGGACAAAGGAAGAGACGTATGCGTGTAGCCTACTGCGCCACCACCCCCCCCCACAGGTCAGTTACAAGTACCGCTACAATTGACGGCTTTGTTATGCATTAACCTAGCTTTCTCTAAGCCTCTGTTACTGGCTGCTGACGAGTTTAAGAAACATTAGCATTGGAGAGATATAAACACATGACTTAATTATATATTTTTACTACAAATAATGCCAGTTTAAGTAGCACAACAGAGGAGTATATAGGACATGGCAAGTCATCATATTCCCACGGGAGTCAGCAGGTCAGGCCACGGTAACTAGGCACTTTGAAGCAGTTATATATATATGGCTGAATAACAAACTGGTTGGGAACTTTACCAGCAGTCAGGGCGGATGTGGCGGCGTCCGTCACCACCACCCACAGCACCCACAGCACCTACACCTCCCACAGCCAACCCGTTCTCGCAAATTTAATAAGTCAATATTGACTTATTAAATATGTGCATAGGTGACATACTTAACATAATAGTTTCCCTTGAAAAGCTTCATAGAAAACACCGACCTTACCTAACCTACTTAGTATGTTAAAATAAGCATCTTATAGCTTCGTAATTACAATTGTTACTTAACCTATTATAGGTATAGGTTAGGTAACGATTGTAATTACGAAGCAATAAGATGCTTATCTTAACATACTAAGTAGGTTAGGTAAGGTCGGGGTTTTCTATGAAGCTTTTCAAGGGAAACTATTATGTTAAGTATGTCACCTATGCACGCAACTAATAAGTCAATATTGACTTATTAAATTTGCGAGAACGGGTTGCCACAGCACATACACCTCCCACAGCATCCACACCTCCCATAGCACCCACACCTCCCACAGCATCCACACCTCCCACAGCACCCACACCTCCCACGGCACCCACACCTCCCACAGCACATACACCACCCACACCTCCCACAGCACCTACACCTCCCACAGCACCCACACCTCCCACAGCACCTACACCTCCCACAGCACCCAATTACAAAATAATACTTCATACAGAACAAGGGTAGCAACATACTGTTATGCATATTCCCAGCTCGTTAATAACAAATTACCGCGAGAAATCAGTTCACTTCCCCCCCCCCCCCCGCCTCCCCCTCTCGACAAGTCGCAGAAAAAGGCGCAATCCTCTGCGACTCTTTTTTTTAACTTACAATTCTAATCATAACTTCTCTTGTTCAATTAAATTTTTTTCTTTGTTATGCACTCCATACCTATCTCGTGGGTGGTGGTAGAAAGGGTTACAGAGGCACATAATGGGTTCAAGAACTGAACCACATAGTTTATTTAGCTAAGTAAGTGACAATCTTTTTAAGCTAATCATAATGATTAATGATTAATATATAGTAGTATCTCATGCCATCTGGTCATAGAAAACGGAACACTCACAAACATAGTCTTATAGTGAGTACTTCATAGCTCTTCTTATCACCTGTTGTTGTTGTTGTTATAGATTCAGCTACTTGGAACAAGTTCCAAGTAGCACGGGCTATGGTGAGCCCGTAACTTACCTGGCACAGGAGCGGGGCAAGTAGCACGGGCTATGGTGAGCCCGTAACTTACCTGGCACAGGAGCGGGGCAAGTAGCACGGGCTATGGTGAACCCATTAGTGGCCTTACCTGGCACAAGGAGCGGTGTTGTGTCTGTTCTTCTCACCGTTGGAGGAGTCATGAGCTGCAGACCCCCCCCCCCCCCCACTCTGTGGACACAATACCCACGGTAACGTTAATTCTACGTTAAATCAACGCATTATTAACGGCATCAACGTAGAATCGACGTCATCGGGGTAGCATCAACATTATCAAAATAGAATTAAAGTTATCAACTAAAATCAACTTTATCAACGTCATTCATACTGTTTCAATGTTACGTTAACATCAAAATTCTGGACTTGGAGACGTCTCCAAGTCCTAGTTAGGTCAGACTATCTCCGGGAAGAACGCCGAGCAAGTCCCAGACTCTATGAGGGTGAAATGTTCGATGCTAAAATCTACACCGATATAGTGCAGACATGTTAAGTTTATTCATAATTAAACAATCCAAAGTCATAACTTCTTCAGCTGGGCATCTGGAGTCAAAACTTCTTCAGCTGGGCATCTGGAGTCAAAACTTCTTCAGCTGGGCATCTGGAGTCAAAACTTCTTCAGCTGGGCATCTGGAGTCAAAACTTCTTCAGCTGGGCATCTGGAGTCAAAACTTCTTCAGCTGGGCATCTGGAGTCAAAACTTCTTAAGAGTCAACAGTGCTGTGCTGAGACTTCTTAAGCTCATGTGTATGTAGGGAAACAAACGTCTTGGGCTGTTGTGTTCTGACAGGAAACTTCTTAAAATGTGCAGTTTACACTTTTTTGAACTACTAGTATTCAGGACCAACACTTCTTGAACTCAGACCTATGCAGCAGAAACTGTTTCGATCCAAGTATCTGAAGCTGAAATTTCTTAAGTCTCATCTTTTTCGAGCGGAAACTTTTTATGTTCAAGAGAGATGAAACTTTGTGTGTGTTCAGGTTTCGGCCACGATAATGATGAACCAGTCACATGTGAACTGCTTTTCATTTTGAATGTGTCAGACATATATGAAGTCAACTTCCAATTGGGAATTGATATTCGAATAGAGATACTCTGCCAGGAGACTGACAGAGTAACTGGCAAAACTGAAGAGAAAGTACGCGGACACTAGAGAAATTCTCTTAAGGATAACAGGGAAATATAATCCAAAGGGAAGACACTACAAGAAATGATTGACTTCATCAGCATAAAATACCGGGAATCATCTGACACATTTGTCCCTTTACAAAGGAGAATGAAAGGCACAGAACTAACCCATAATTTAATAATGGATGCAAGGAGGCAAAACAAGGGCATGCAAAGAACAAGTGCAAACAAGGGTACGCAAAGAACAAGTGCAAACAATGATATGCAAAGAATACAAAACAAAAGAGCAACAGAGAGGAGTAATTAAGGACCAGGAATGAGTCCCTCCGATTAAAGGAGTACCTACCGGAGAAAACAAAGGGTCACAGTTAGAAATGAGAAGTCAGGTTGGAGGAATGTAGAAAGAGATACGTAATGATATAATTCATATCAAGAGGGGTTATCTTGAGATGATTTCGGGGCTTTAGTGTCCCCGTGGCCCGGTCCTCGACCAGGCCTCCACCCCCAGGAAGCAGCCCGTGACAGCTGACTAACACCCAGGTACCTATTTACTGCTAGGTAACAGGGGCATAGGGTGAAAGAAACTCTGCCCATTGTTTCTCGCCGGCGCCCGGGATCGAACCCAGGACCACAGGATCACAAGTCCAGCGTGCTGTCCGCTCGGCCGACCGGCTCCTAAAGGATTCCACAAGGGTCGGGTCCCACAAGGATCGGTTCCAGGCCCGTTTCTGCTCCTAATCTATGCCAATGACCTGAGGGAGCGCGTTCGTACAAGCGGATGCTTGCAGCCTAAAGATAAACTTAGCAACTGGGAACACCTGAAGGACACTACAGGATGACCTTGACAAACTCCAGTGGTAAGACACGTGGCTGTTATATTTAGCAATACTTGATGTGGTGTTGACCAGACCACACACTAAAAGGTGAAGGGACGACGACGTTTCGGTCCGTCCTGGACCATTCTCAAGTCGATTGACTTGAGAATGGTCCAGGACGGGCCGAAACGTCGTCGTCCCTTCACCTTCTAGTGTGTGGTCTGGTCAACTTACTTTAGCCACGTTATTGTGACTCATCGCCTTGATGTGGTGATAAACAATACTTAAAATGATTATGAACAAAGCAAAGTTATTTTAAAATTTTCAGGAATAATTAGTTATACGTAGCTATTCAGCGATGCAGTTAGGTATAATTAGTGCCCTTTAAGGGAACAATTAATAAGTAGACCTTGCTTTTTCTTTTTTGTAACTGCGGTCAGTCAATAAAGTAAGGTAAACACCCCATATTGGTCATTCACACCAGCTACAGCTGACTGCCTTTGTAAACACAAGTACACTAACTGTGAATGTGCTCAGCGGGTAGACACATAAAAGGGGGAATTGATATAAGAAACATAAAAAACTGGTTGTTCTTGTGGTAGTACGTGGGCGCGTGCGGACGTGCGTGGGCGTGTCTAGCACGTGTTCACAGAAATCAGCTGAGTTATTGTACACGCGCAACTCGTGACGTCACGACTGTAAACACAACCACGTGGCTCCCGACCTGATGTTTTTCTTCCCAGGACGGTAATGAAGCTGTTCTTCCTAGTCTAAAGTGTTCCAGTTTTATACTATTTTTATTACAGTATCGTTATCGTTTATTAATTTATTATTAGTAGTATTACTAATATTATTATCAATATTATATTATTATTATTATTATTATTATTACTAATTAGTATTATACTGTTCTGTTTGCTACAGGATATTCCAGACCTGCTTGATTCCCTATTTATCGTCATTCCACACCTGCCCATCACCACACCACCCACACCTGCCCATCACCATACTTCCCACACCTGCTCATCACCACACTACCCACAAATCACCCAAACACGACAATGAGAGGGGAGAGGTGACCGCGAAAGGTTAGCAACCACCTCATTACTACCAACCACTAAACCGCAAAACGCTACAAGAGGCAGTGTTGCCAGAGAGGCGTAACTCACCACTAACCTAGTGAGCGGTAGTTAGTAGCTCTTGACACAAACGAGCCTTCGTGTAGTTTAGCGGTAGGTGTATAAATGACCCCGATATAGGATTGTCTTAACCCTTACGCTGCTACTAACGTCATATGCATTTTTTTGGTTCCCATTTTTTGTTAATTATTTTTAGGCAAGTGCACTTCGATGTTGTACTTATAAATAGCTGCGCAGTTTAGGGGTTGACGAGACCTCGAACGTTGAAGATAGGATGAGGCTCTGAGGTAAGGCTTCTGGGTAAGGCTTCTGGGTAAGGCACCAAGGGTAAGGCTCCTGGGTAAGGGCATTTCTCTTACCTACACCCAAATATATGCACAAATCTTGAAAAATAAAATTAAACACAATATTTGATAAGTTCACACTTAACCCCTTTGAGGCTAAATGTGGTGGTTGTAAGTGCGTTCGTGAGCACTCGAGTGCGTTTGTGGGCACTGAAGTGCGTTTGTGAGCACTCGACTGCGTTCGTAAGCACTGAAGTGCGTTCGTGAGCACTCGAGTGCGTTCATGAGCACTGAAGTGCGTTCGTGAGCACTCGAGTGCGTTGGAATGTTCTTGGGTGCACTAGTGCGCTGGTGAGAGTGAGCACCAGCGCATGCGTCTAACCCACCTCACTCTTTTGCCCTTCTTAACCTGACCTGCAAATCTGATTTCAAATATTAAACAACAGTTATATACAAAAAATTACCCATTTTTTTACGAGAAATCAGCATGCAAGAACTTCCTTGGCTGCAGGTGGAGATGACCGCTTCTTGCATGTGCGAGATGGGTAGGGGTGGAGACCTTGCCTTGGGGACGGGGGAGGGGAGCAGGGAATGGGGGAGGAGGCGGGAAGGGGGAGAGGAGACGGAAGGATTCAGCAAGAAGTCACTTGCATCTTCCTTGCGGACACGATACAAGAGGAACACCAACGCGGGTTTTCTTCCTATTGGGGAGTGTTGTACCAATCCCAGCAAACAAACAACGCCATAACAAGTCATTACGTCGTTAAAACGTCAAAAATAACGTTATTGGTAACGACGTGTGCTGGGATATCCCCCCCCCCCCCGCTGGCGTCCCAGTGACACACTAAGCACAGCCACAACACATAGCTCAGTAGGAAGCAACAAAAGACCATTCTTGTCTCAGACATTATGGTGTTGAAGTATCGTGTGAGATCTCACACGGTATAATCTCGACGTGTCATCAGTGAGGATAAACTGGAAAGCCACAAATAGCGAGGCGTTATCCAGCATCTTCCCGGCTGTGGCCAGACCTTCCAGTCCTCACCCCACACCTTTCACTTTCCCGGGAAGTTTTATTTAACAGGGGGGAAAAAAACACGTCGTTGGGCAGTTACTGCCCCGCTCCTGTGTAAAGTTAAGTCCTGTACGGGCTCACCATAGCCCGTGCTACTTGTTACAGCCCCGCTCCTGTGTAAAGTTAAGTCCAGTACGGGCTCACCATAGCCCGTGCTACTTGTTACAGCCCCGCTCCTGTGTAAAGTTAAGTCCACTACGGGCTCACCATAGCCCGTGCTACTTGTTACAGCCCCGCTCCTGTGCAAGGTTAAGTCCACTACGGGCTCACCATAGCCCGTGCTACTTGTTACAGCCCCGCTCCTGTGTAAGGTTAAGTCCACTACGGGCTCACCATAGCCCGTGCTACTTGCCCCGCTCCTGTGCCAGGTAAGTCCACTATGGGCTCACCATAGCCCGTGTTACTTGTTACTGCCCCGCTCCTGTGCCAGGTAAGTCCACTACGGGCTCACCATAGCCCGTGCTACTTGAAACTTATTGTTCCCAGTAGCTGATTTTAAAACAACAACAACATCGTTGGTCTATTCTGCTGCAAGATTACGGAAGTAGAGAGGTATGTATTTACTATTTCTGCCTGTAGGATCGAGGTATTAGCTCTTGGACCCCGCCTTTCTAGCCGCCGGTTGTCTAATGCGATGATTCCTGACCTGTTTCCCCTATCATACCTACTTTTAAAGATATTGATGGAGTTTGCTTCTACAACCTGTTCCTTACATTACTCTATCTTGAGGTTATCTTGAGATGATTTCGGGGCTTTAGTGTCCCCGCGGCCCGGTCCTCTACCAGGCCTCCACCCCCAGGAAGTAGCCCGTGACAGCTGACTAACACCCAGGTACCTATTTTACTGCTAGGTAACAGGGGCATAGGGTGTAAGAAACTCTGTCCATTGTTTCTCGCCGGCGCCTGGGATCGAACCCAGGACCACAGGATCACAAGTCCAGCGTGCTGTCCGCTCGGCCGACCGGCTCCCTACTCAGTTTTTTAGTTTAGTTCATTTATTATGCACCCCATACCCATCTTGTGGGCTGTAATGGAAAGGGTTACAGAGGCACATAATGGGCTCAGGGACTGAACCCCACAATTCATTTAGCTAAGCAAGTTACAATCTTGATGAGCTAGTTACAAAATTCAGTATAAGTCATCACATCAACAATGGGTTCGAGATCGACCACAAGTACAGTTTCTAAATTAAGCAAAAGTCAGTGTTTTTCCACTTAGACCCGTCTACCTCTCAAGTCTGTGTAATCTCTTGTGAGAAAAGCTTTTTGGCAGTTCAGAAATATGTAATCTGCCCAAGCTTCCCTAT